CTTCCCCCGCCTCGCACACACCCTCTCCCAGGCTGGGCCTTTCACAGCGCTGAGGCCATGTCAGCCGGCAGCTTGGGGAGGGGGGCGCACAGACAACAAGGGGAGTGTCATGGAAACGGGCGCTTCCCCCAGAAATATTCTGTTTGGCCCCCTTCCTGCACGGAGGGTTGTCAGGGGCCTGAGTGAGAGCCTCACCACCCCGGGACCAGGCGTGACAAAACCTATTTTCTGCCTCAAATTTGATTGATTAAAAAACTTTTTAGGAAAACCATGTTAAAAGAGTGAAAAAAAGAGAGAGGGAGAATGAGAGAGAGAGAGAGAGGGAGGGAGGGGAGGGGCAGTGGGGGGGGAGAAAGACAGAGAGAATGGAAATGCGACCAGGGGAGAAAGGCCAGAGGCAGGGGCCGAGCAGTTACCCCGGCGATGACAGCCGGGGGGTGCGTGCCAGGGGGACAGCCGCCGCATAACCGGCAGAACAGAAAGGTCACCGGGAGCCGGGACTTTACTCAGCGGTGATCGGACAAGGAGGGGAGAGGGCCCCGCGCACTCCAGCAGGTGCCGGGTCCGGGTCCGGGTCCAGACGAGGCAGCAGCCAGGGTGGGTTGGCTGCCCGGCCTGGGGAGAGGAGCCAGCACCCCAAGGCAGGCAGGTGGCAGGTGGGGGTGGCCGCCAGCACCAGGAGTCAGCAGGTCTCTGGACTGGCTCTGGAATTTGGCCGGAATCCTGAGAAATCTGCCCAGGGTCACGAGGGAGGCTCCAGTAGTTTGGGGACAGGAAAGGGGTTTTCCCACCTTGTTCTCAGAAGCCCTGGCTCAGAGGACAGTTTTAAATGAATAAGTAAATAAGCTGGGAGGTGCCCGGCTGACCCCGCCATGCCCCCCTGTCCTGCAGCGGTTCAATGCCAACCCCGGGCCTCCCGCTCTCCTCCCTCCCCATCTCAGCCTCCTGCCAGCTCGGTCCCATGCCCGCCCTCTCTCTTCTCGTCTCAGAAACCGAGGCTGACCTGGCCTGACTTGGATGGGATGGGACCCTGCCATACTCCCTCAGGGCTCCCTCCAGGGGAAGAGCCAGCCTCCCCACCCCTCCTGACACCCCGCGGGAGGAAAGGACAGGCCTCGCCTCAGCTCTCCCTGGCAGGACCCGTCCTCTCCCCAGAAGACGGGTCCAGGTTGGTGGGCAAGTTTGTTCCCCTCCGTCTAAGGGCCTCGGAAGTCAAGGTGAGGCGTGGTTCTGGCCAAGGAGTCAGCAAGAAGATTTCTCCCGTGCTGGGAGGGGTGCTCGGCAGCGTCCAATCCGGCCTTTGCCAGCTCAGGGCTCAATCGGCGAGGCAAGTGCCTGGCTGGACAGACAGGTGCATTCTGCAGACAGACGCACACAAAGAGGACAGGGCTCCGGGCCTTGCCCCAGCGCTGGGCCAGGTACACAGAGCCTGGTCTCTCTCCGACCCTGTTCCACGG